AATCATCAAACTGCATGACGAAGCGCTAACTTGGAATCCTGAAGGGAAACTGAGAAGAGGAAGGTCGGAGAACACACTACGTCGGGAATCGGAAGCAGACATGAGAAGGATGAAAAGCAATTGTAAAAGATCGTCCAGAACAGAGTTTGATGAAGAATACTGGTGGGTGGCCTATGCTCCTCTTTGAGGGGTAACAGGTGTTAGTAAGTAATGTTATCTATATTTTTCTGGTTATTAATTTCACAATTTCAACTGACCTGTAAACTGATTGAAATACACACTGCAAGCTAGTCATTTTATTATTAGTGATTTAAATTTTATTACATTCTGTAAATAATCTAAAAATTCAGAAACTGTGATGTTAAAAGTAATATTTGTTTAGAACTTGGTTACCCCTTCGGAACGTTAATTTGGATTAATGATTCTAGAAAATATTGGGGAATCGTTGAAAAGAATATTCTTTGTCAATTTATCTGTGGTTTTGATGTGACTAGAATTTTTGAAAAATATTGAAATTTTTCATAGTTTACGTCGTGAAGTGACCTTGTTATACCGTTGAAAACCTCGAGTCACTAGACCTCTTTTTTGTCCTGGCATGAGTTCCCTCAAGTGTGCGTACTTACTATCCACTGACCTGAAATAAAACTCATGACCTATGGTCTTGAGAGCGAACACTCAAACTCTAGACCACTAAAATTACTCAACTGTTGCCAAAGTATATTGTTATATCCAGTTTGCGATTATCGATATTTAATACTTAATCAACTACATTTGAACATACGTCTTTTGAATGAAGACAGGTTATATTTTGTGAATAAATAATATGTTTTGAAATGTATTTCTCAGGATTCCGACTGGAAATGACTGATAAAATGAACATGCAAATAATATAACAGTTTAATCAAGCTTCAAGATCATCATTTCACCTAATATGCAATTGTGTGTGATAAATGGGTGTATTTTGTGACCGATCACAAATCTGATTGCTGAGAAAACCAAGAAAAACTGTTACAATGGTTCACTAAACTTTTTCTTCATAGAAGACGATTATAATCGAATTCATACATCCTTTATGTTATGCCATGAAAATAGATAATTATGCGAACAATACTAGTCAAAATCATTTGTGGATAAATGTGGATGATAGCTAATTACTGTCAAATGTGTAATGTGTTTTTATATTAACGTTGTTCTATTTATTCATTAAATAAACACTTCAACAATTAGATAGTTGTAGGATTTACAATTAGGGCTGAAAATGATTGATTCACCTGTTAGTTATTTTGAATCAAACTAGTCTTTTGTTCAAGTGTATCATATTTTGAGATTAAGATAAGTACTAGTAAACTGTATTTGTCAATTGAAACGAAAAATATAGATGGAGGAATTAAGTAAATTATCAATTATTCTTTAAAGGGAAACATAAGTTATGCGTATAATTTTACATATTCGATATTTAAAATATATTATCAGAAAAGAGGTTTTGTGGAGATTTAATATTTTCATAGTTGCAAGCGTGAGTCAATTGAAGCTAGACCATCAAGGAAAACCTGGAAGCACTGGACGGCCGTTTCGTCCTATTGTGGGACTCCTCCGCAGTGCGCATTCACGATCTCGTCTCGCGAGATTCGAACCCAGGACCTAACAGTCTCGCGCCAGAGCACTTAACCGATAGACCACTGAGCCGGCATCCGATGGTATTAATGTCTCACTCCAACCAATACACGAAGTTGAGTGACCGTTCACCGATTGTCTTCAGTGAGTTGTTATCTCACAACAGACGTGGTGTGAACTCCACTGGTCACTGCTTCTGACTAGAACTCCAGGATTTACCTCTCGAAGTCAATCACTAGTGAGCATATGATTACCATTTACAGAAGGGGTTAAAATATATGTTTCAAGTTCACCTGTAAATGAGTGATAAATCTGATTTGATTCGTCGAGTAATTTATGACGTCTGACGAATATGAATAGTTGGTAGTATTCAATACAAATTATTCTTTTCAATTTTTTGTTTGTTTTTTTGGAACGACATGTATGACATTTAAAAATTAGTAGAACCTATAAATGAATATTGTAAAGAATGTTCAATGGGAACTATTTCAGAAGTATAAATTTTATGAAGCGATTATAGATTTATGATATATAAGAATACAAATGTAAAAATAAATGTGACATTTAGAACACACCTCTTGTGATTTATATATTTTTCCATCATAACTAACACTAAGATTTGATAGATTTGGGTACAAAGAAAGGAACTACTCTGGGAATTTCAATTTCAAGAAATTAGTTTTAAACATCTTTTGTGGGAGAAAAAATGTGTTTTAAGTATGGCCGTCATTGAAATAGATGTATTAGCTGTGAAATTTATATTATTCTTTTGAAAAACATCATCAGCGTGTACTTCAAAGAAAGAGGATTAACAACTGCAAGGTCATAGTTTAGATTAGGAAAGAAACTAAGCTTACAAGCAACGACTACATAGTAATGGATAACGACTAACTAAATTTCAGGTCAACAGAATAAACTGTTAGTCAGTTGTGCATAAAATCTAGTAGTTCACTTCTCTTTAAAGTATGTACTACATGTTGTTCTAAAGAGAAATGACAGCTTCACAACCAATCCATACAGCTCAGAAACCACAATATCTCTAACATCCTCGTCATGAGCTACAAATATTCCTCAACATCTAGAGAAAACTTGTTTCTTGTTTTTGAAGTCATATATAAGTTGAGTGATGTTACTTTAAATTTATCAATAATAGTATTATTTTTTTAGGTTTTTCATACTTATTGGATTTTTGTACACTTACAAATACGGTAAAGTGGCTTTAAAACTCATATTTTTGTTAACAGCATAGGAAATTTGCGGAAGTTGATCAACATTATACATTCTCTGATAAGTATAGCACTCATTGAACATGTTGTTTTCTACGAAGACACTAATTGTTAGACTGAACAGTGTGGATACATTCAGACTATCTGGTTGGGGTTTACTCGATTATTGTAACTATTGTTTAGAGACTAGGGATGAGATTATTAGGAATCAGTCCCATAAGCTGAGAAATGTCCACTCTTTGTCCTCTTTTAGATCGCAAGCTTCAAAATTATCTACTTTTTATTTGATTATTGGACGTCATTCAGATCATATTATCTGTGCATGGACATTTTTACTACCACTCTTACCACTTTTACTAGCTTTATATTTATCATGATAATTTTACTTCACTATCCGTCGTGGACTTTCGTTCTCTAAGCTAAATGGTCTAGTCTTTAAATTTTCGGTGTTTTGCCATATATATGAAGAAATTTAAATATCTCATTGGTGCTAATGACTTTTTTGAGAAGAGTTCCATGATTCAATCAACATCGAGCTCAGTAACCTCAAATTTGTAGATAGGCTTTACTGGAGAAGGTCATCTGTAAAAAGATATGAATCTTAGACTTCATGTTAATTATCCCCATCTGACAAACATGGATAAATAAGGACCGTCATTTCCAGTCAGTTATTCACAGTGTGGATTGATTGTTGGACTTCATTCATCACTAATATTGTATTCGTTCATTGTTTAATATTCTCTTAAGACTATGTGTCGCTTGAATCCTCTCAAATCAAAATAAGAAATGAAACGGCTATTGTATGTTGTAATAAGCCCGAACAACAAAGACATTGTAACAAAATCAATAAAGTTTTGTGATGATTAGAAGTATTTGAAACATCAAGCGAACTAGGAATTCCCGAAATAGTGTAATTTAAACCAAGAAGAACTAGGTGACCACAAACGAACGTATTAATTTTGAAATCCGAAATCAGGCAGTCATCAAATACGAATGTATCACTAGTTCATAAGAACACCACAGGTTTATATGGAATCTACATACGAATCTTCTAGCTTCTTGATTCCTCCACCAACGCTAATTGGCTAAAAACGGAACGATCAATGTCTTTCAATTTAACTCTGACCAGACCATTTAATAGCCAGAAATATATTTGGCTAATAACTCAGTATTAGTTACTAAGAATCGACCAATTAAAGTGATATTAACTTTCGCAAGTTGAATTAAACACACGGTAGTAACCAGCTTTGATTGAATAAATATTAAACTGTACGAAAAATAACACACTGATTAGTAAATTATGTTTGTTTTCCGAAGGGAAACAATGATACATGTTTATGGTGATAACAGTGAAATTTAAGTCTCAGAATCGTCTGGTTATGGGATAAAATGTATAATCCGTATCCTAAGGAAATTCATATTCATTCTTTCTCTCTATATATATGTGAAAATACGTCGATGTATAGTGCTTAAGTGTGCATTGTGTTTTTGAATGAAACAGACTCTTTTAGTTGGCCAGTATTCTTTTTTTGTCAGTAACTCGGTTTTTGAAGTAATCGCCTTCTGTCATATAATTCACATTAGTTCAAGCGACCGAGCACTTAATTCATACAATCCATACGATGTATCTGAGCTATAATAGATACTATCATATTTTTGTAAACAAAACAAAATTTATACCTGATACTTCGTTTAATAAACACATTGTATCAACTTCACATAAAACAACGTCATTAGTTAAGATCCAAAAGCTTTGAATGACAATTTTATATTGTGCATAAAACAATAATATGTGTGAACGATTTTTATACTTCCACACTATTCATGTATTTTCCTTCAACAGAATAATGCAACGTTAATGAAATGATGTGTTACTTATTGAAACAGAGCGGTATTACTGAAAATTATATTACAGTTCATGTTGCAAAAATAAAATTCAAAGTAATCAAACTCTTTCCCATTATTATTATTATTTATAAAATGTAAGTTCAGTATATGAGGACTTCTCATGTTATCTGAGATAGTTGTGACGTCTTGGTTATGTTTAAATTAACAATAAGACGGTTATTATCTACATAAAAATTAATTGATTCAGGATCAGGAATGCAGTCGGAAGCTTCATATTCTTTATAATATGTTCTTTGAACAAGATGTTTAGAATCAGACTTATTAGAGTTTTGTTTCACTATTGAATAATCAAGGTTAGTAATTGTTATGCATACTGAACGTTGTACAACAGTGACTTTTATATTCTCTTCCTTGTAATTTTCATCTAAGGGGATCATTAAAATAAGTTTATTCCCTTCGCGTATAGTTTCATGTCGATCAAGATGTTTTGTTTGTAGCTTTTCACCATTTTCTAGTTTGATATCATGCTCATTTTGAATAGAACTTTCGCATTCCTGTAATGTTATTCCATTACGTTCTCTACTTTGTTTTGGTTTGCTTGAACCAAAAGACATATATGGAATATCAATCAGAAGGAGACCATTTAGTAATAACATGATTTTAGAGTTTTCAGCCATTACATTCTCAGGCACAGTCAGTTTATTTTGAACTTCACGACAAATAATTTCATTTGCTTTGTTAGTTTCAGTTTTTGCATTTATTATTATTTCCCTTTTAGAAGTCAGATATGCACTAAGTGAGTCCTGCTTAATTCCTTTCGCATTCAAAAAAATTTTAAGGAAGCAATGACAACCGGGGGTATTTACAGTGAAAATAGTGCACACGTGTTCCAGAATATTAGACATTTGTTCCATTGGTCATTAAGAGATTTTATAGGAGAGAATAGAATACAATTGATCATGATCATAGGAACTAATGTTTAAAGTGATAAATAAATTCGCGTACAGTTTTAGGTTTGGAGCTTTGTACATGGACGAAAATAGAAGTTACTTGTTCGGCAGACGATTCAGGGTTACTAACGTAAATAAAACTAGGATGATTATCATTGGTTATTTGTATTCTACCAATAGGCAGTGGAAATTCTCGGAATCACGATTCATCGTTTAGGTTACTATCAATCTTTAAAAGCTGTGTTACCGTACTCAAAGAAGCAGATTTATATGTATTCAACTTGTATAAATACTCTCTATATCCTTAGAATTTCTTAATTTCCAGCCTTCCAATATATTCAGCCGATCAGAAACACTAAAATATAATATTATATAAAGAATAAAACAGAATGTTCCGTAAAATAACAACAAGTTGCACATAACATTTAAGTAACTGCACAGTATTTCGTGATTATTGTCGACTTTTTATTTGTTTGAATCTGTGAACGTGAATCGCTCATAAAACGCGGTATTTGTGGTTTCTGTTCATTGTTTTATGAATAATTCAATTACGGAGGTAAACATGAGCGTCCCCAGCCGTGCGACTAACTCAAACAATACGATTTTATCTGAGGAACGGACGTGTCACAGAAGTCAAATGGCATCATCTGACGCTGTTGGACGTACAATGGCACTATTACCCATAAATCATAATCATGCTCTACATCATGGAATAAAATTAATGCCTCACATAAACATGCCTCACAGAGAAGTAGGAGCGACAACACCCTTGGTAACTAACTCTGGCACAGCCAGTACGTGCTCGATGTCCCTGCCAGGTTCAATGTCATCGGCATCGGACACTGTTTGTAATATTCTTCCACACAACACTTCAGATAGCAGCTCAATCGACCTCGCTAGTCTTTTCGAATGTCCTGTTTGCATGGATTACGCTCTACCACCTATTATGCAATGTCAGAGTGGACACATTGTTTGCGCATCGTGCCGGTCAAAACTCTCATCATGCCCAACTTGCAGAGGCAACCTAGGTAAGCTTGATACATCATTTCTGTACGTAAATTTTAATATCCAAGACAGTAAGGGTGTTACTAATAGGATTCACACTTTTTCCACATGTCTAGAGCTTATTATACACCGAACATAATATTTTTGGCATGAAACGTCTCTTTTTGCACTTATCTACCACACAAATTGTCGCATCTTCCATTGCCTATTCGTTCTTTTGTTTTTGCCACATCTAAAGATTTGTGGCACAGAAAGTCTGTGTTGTATACTGTTTCTGGTATTTTAATGTTTTATTAACAATACAGTGCATAAGTTTTCCCATGCATAGTAACATCCACTAGGCCATCATTAACTTAGAGCCTAAAGATAACCCATTGGCGTCAGTATAGTAACTTCTTCATCACTCTGCCAAGAACACTTGGTTACTGTAGATAGTGTCATCTATTACTTCAGTAATTAACACATTTGACATCAAATTTAATCAGTTACGTCACGCATTCTCGGTCTCAATTACATCTTTTAAAAAGTGTTTATTTGCACCAAAATAATGCGTCAATTCGTCATAACTTGTCTTATTGTCTGTCACACCAGTCAGTGGTATGTTGCGGGTAATAACTAGGATAATTCTGGAGGTTCTGGTGTCTTTATCAGTGCTTCAGTACACCTTATTGAGTTGTTTTATCATTATTTCTCCATAGGCTTTCAGGAGCTCCCAAGTGTACACTGCCCCTCACTTGTTACTATTTATTACTCATGGGCCATTACGAAGTAAGATTATCGAGTTAATTTCGTCCTACATAGGTCTATTTTATCGATGGTATTTGACCCCTTGGTTTGATAACTTCTTTAGAGAGACCTAGTTAAAGACGTTGCTTAGGAAACAGATGTTCTGACTATCGAACCTTTTCAATCTCAGTGTAGAAGAACAGTGTACAAGATATTGTTTTCTGAAGGAAGGCTTAAATTAAAGGTTTTCATAAGTAGTACTATCCAACTTTTTATCTTTAGCTTGGATGGTATATTAGATCCTTACTTCAACCTTTCTGAGTTCTGTCTTGTTCGAGAATCATTTGATTGACTCATAGGACGCGAATATGTTAGCCCTGTCTCACGATAATACATGAAAAAGCAGGATCACTTAATTGCATTAAGGAGAAGCTTGTTAGTGTTTAATATTTCCTACAAACCCAACATCAGTCAGGTATTGTTTAAAGAAAAGTCTGCACTGATGTTTATTTTAAAAAGAATAATTAAGTATTCAAGCTTGTGAATCAGTTTTCTTATTTTTATCGTTGTATTAGCTCTCTTGAATCGGCTGTTCATGTTATCACGACGAAAATACGGTGTTTGTATGTCTCAACGTTTGATGCTAACTATATGTATTACCGACTTTTACAGAGTGTACACACTTCACACTGTAATAGGCCGCGTAACAGGTGCAAAACAAGACTTAAGTGTACATTCTTAGATACGATTCTTATAGATATGATTTGAAACTTGTTTAGGTAGGTTCTAGTTGACACATCGCATTTGTTTGGAGAGTGGCAGTCAATTGAAGGAAAAGCAGAGTGATTAAGCCGAAAATGTCATTGATGGTAATCGGCAACAATGTATCAGAAAATAAATATTTAATTATTAACTCGTTTGCATACTAGGATGAGACAAAGAGTATATGTGGGTTTGTACTGGTGCGAATCATTGTGGTCTGTTACCACCCATCATGTGATCAGACTATTGGTTGCATTTATTTCGTGAGTTCTTCAAAGACTACCTAAAGCTGTCTACACCACTTAAACCATCATTTAATAAGTTCATGAACTCAGACCGTTTTGCTATCTGGTCATCTTTCTATGTTCATACTCCATTTGTTCCCTTAGGATCCTGAAGCCCTTGTGCACCATTGGTTTGGAATCGGGTTTTCCCGACTCCCCTCGATGGATCCTCCGTGTCCACCCACCCGGGTAAAGTGCCGGACATTCGCTTTTCGTCCTCTCGATTTCGTAAACAGCACCCCCGCCACGAGAAGGCAGTGAGTAGGACTTCGTTGACAGTGGCTGTATACCCGAGGCCATATGATAGCATTTCGAGAGAGCAGACTCTCCCCACCTTCAGTTATACCAGGGCATTTCGGTGCCAATAGTTGCAACATTTAGTTCTCAGCCATTACTTTGCAGGCTTGAGTTCACCTTGGTCTAATTTTATTTAGGCAACCAGGTTGCATCAGATATTTCGAGTCAAATTCGAGTACGTAGCCCTGTGGTTAGTGAATAAATTGAAAGTAGGACCTTATCTCTGGCTACAATTTGTCAAGCTCACTAAGACTCACGATGTGCGAAATGGTTTATCTGCGTAACCTAACCACTCATAGTCAACCTTAACAATTGCGGAAGCTGCTCCTAAAGTAACTATTTAACGGAAAATCTAAATTTGTTATTTTTGGTCCAAAATTCTGTAATAATCTGTCTCTTCATCGACTTTCAAAACACAAGTGTTCGATGATTTTGCCTTCTTTGCTATTATACAACAATGGTAATATTTCGTACTGATCATTTTTAGTCCCTCCTGTGAATTTGATATCCTAATACTTTCCTAACTAATGTGCATATTGTCTCGATTGAACTTCCAAATAGTTACTCACATGATACCTCGTCTCACTTTTCTTTTGAAGATAATATCCGGAACCTCGCAATGGAAAAACTTGCTTCCAGTGTATTATTTCCTTGCAAGTACTCCACTAGTGGTTGCCCAGAAACTTTTCATTATACATCCAAATCAGAACATGAAGCAGCTTGCGAGTACAGGTAGGTTTTTTACTTTTTGCCCGTTTTTAGAGATTCATCGTTAGTTTCAAATCTTCCGTCACTAGTTGTCTTAATTTCTATCATGTTCACTAACTCATTTTTGTGTTTTACAGGTTCTTCGATATTTCATGGAAATTAAGAACTATGAGCCCATTACAAGATCCCAACGCTGAACTTTAAGCAGGCGTTTATGTCTTAAAAGATACTGCCATATTTGTATCCCATATGGGAGTGATTACAGATATCGTAATGTAATATCATACTGTTCTCAACGTTACAGGCGAATATAACCATATAGTCGGCTTATCTAGACATATGATAGTTGAGAGAGATAACAAATCGGTTGACAAAGTAGTGAATTTTCATCGGCTGAGGTATTTAGGACATGTATTACGTATGACCAACCACCACCTACCCCAACAAGCCGTGCTTGCTAGTGCAGAATTAGGTTGGAAGAAAGCTAAGTTCGGCCAAACCAATAGTGGTGGTCATTAGAGTCATCGATTGTTGGCTTTAGCCATGCATATAGACTCAGGCTAACTAGTTGAACTTGGCGTGATAACTAATCAGTGGTTGAAGTTGTTCACAGTGGCAGAGATTCATCCACTCTCCATCTTGAATTCCAGTATTCCTCTGTACATACCTTTCCATCATCTTTGGAAACCATATTCCCAAGGTTTATTTTTTTCCTTTTACAATTGCTACTGCGTTGTCCCGATCTTTTTTGTTATTTATATCTTGTGTTAATGTGATATAGCTCTATGTTGATGTTTGTTTGTCTTTATCTAATGAATTAATAGAATGATGGGAACATTTTTCACTTTAGTCTAAGCACAGGCAAAAGTCAGGTTTAAAATAACCCATTGTAATACTCTATACTGCAAGCAGAGGGATTAAAAGAGCCATCAACAGTAGCGAATACTAGTCTGGTTTTAAAATCATTGGTTTGGCCCATTTAGGAGAAATTTTGTACCATTCAGTTAAAAGTTTGTCTAAAGTTTGTTATTTTAATCAGTTTTATTTGCTTTCAACTTTCTATCAGTCTGTCTAGTATCCGAAAATCTTGTAAGCAACTTCAAGTATGTGAACGATTTAATTCCTATAGGTGAAGGGGTTTTCGTAGTACTATTTTAAACCATGTTAACCAGATATTTAAAGTTGTCCAAGTCAAGTTTCTAACTCGTCAGATTCCGTAAAAGTCCTGTGCCGTTAATAGCAGTGGCAGTTAAGATGTTTGTGCCTACTGATCATTTTCGTGACTTCGAAACCCAACTTCCAACTATCCATTAACAAGTGAAAACTTCATTCCATTTATTGAGATTGATTTGGTTACCTAGTATCATTAGCCTGTATTTTAAGAGCAGTTCATTAAGGGTACCTATGTTTCTTGTTGTTGTTTTGTAGTACGTTATCCCACTATGTATCTATTACCATATTTCCTGCTTAGATTATTTTCGAATACAGAAGTTCTGATTACTGTTCTCGAACACAAATACGGAGACAGTATGGATATATATACCGCGAAACATATGCGACATTGTCTGCTTCACTCTGTCATACTGCTAAAATATATTGTAGATTGGAGAGTATATACAAAAATTAGACTCATTGACTCTCAGATATCGCAGGACTATTTATTGGTAATAGTGGAAGCATTAAAAGAATTTGTCTAGCGGCAAGCTATGAATGTTTTTGCCCATTGAAGTAGTTGGTATATATTTTATGCATATGGAAATGACTGGTACTGTTTAGCATGGAACATTTTCGTCTGTTTTTCTCATTTCCCAATGTGTTTTGAAACTCTACTGTATTTCTTTCTATGTTGGTGAAATGTGTATCGACCTATACCATTTTACATTTCTCTGTCCATTTATGCCTTAGTATTTATTTTTTGAGATGAATTGTGAATGACTCTGTGGGCAAAACTCAATATTTGTGGTTTTTTGATCATACAATACTACGCTACTTTCGCAGTATTTGACTTTTCTTTATGCGATATGGTATTTTCCAAGTTTAGGATTCACATTTCCCTCATAGTTGTGTAATAAGCTAACTTATTGTTATCTGTTCTTTTCAAAAGAGCATTGAACTTGTCTGGACACTACAGTCACTCAATTTCACTATCTAGTTACATTCATGAAATTTTCGTTTTATGGCTTTGTGTTTCTTTCACCTAATTCTCAACGTTAAGATCAATAATTCAAACCCATTTAATCTATTTCCTCTCTGAAAACCGATTGTGATAATTTTAGTCCATTTTTTCAGCATGGCAATTATCGGTCACTGATTAGTAAACAATAATGTGCTGATGTATATTAAACAGTGTCTGATTGTAACATGTAAATAAAGTTTATTGTCTTTTTTGTACTGTTTTTTCCGTAACTTATATCGAATATTGATTACAAGCGTTTATTTGCTAAATAATCATTTTAGGCCCTATGATTGTCCATGCCCTGGTGCTTCATGTAAGTGGCTTGGTGAATTGGAACAAGTTATGCCCCATCTCGTGCATCATCATAAAAGCATTACAACTTTACAAGGTAAGAACTATGTGGGATTTTTTCCACAGACCAGATTATTTATTAGTATTGTTTGGAGAAATATAGGTTTCTTTTCTACTTTAGAATTATCATTCACAAGTATTTTTGGAATAATTGTACCCATTAATCTCGTATATCTTTAGGTGAAATATTAGGAAATGATCGCCTTTCTAAGAATGTCAAAGCTTGTTTATGAGTTTCAGGCTATTCGTCTTATGAACTGATTATATTTACATTCATTTGATCATAAAATGTAACCAGAACCGTTAGACAACTATGTACTTCACTGTCTTACCTAATAACTGACTCCACTAACCAAAAATCTATGGTCCGTCTATTTGTATCATCTCTGCTATCCACACTTAAGATTTAAATGTGTTTCTTTCATGACCTCATTATGACAGTGAGTGCGTATTGCTGATGAGTCAGAAACGAAGATGATACAAATATCCGATATTGATATAGTCGTTGCCTCATTGTGGTGATGGAGCTTTCCTATTTTGACACGAATCAATTTTTATTGACCACAACAATTTTCCCCACACTAGACCGGTCGATTGATGAATGGATTAGCCGAAAAAGCAGATGCAACATATTAAAGCAATATCGTGCTGTTCACTGTACTTTTATGAAGTGCTAGTAAGTTGGTTCCCTTAAATAAGAAACATTTCCAATAATGCTATTTCGGGACTCCTAAAACTTTTTTCGCAAAGTCAATAAATGGAGCTTGGAATATAAGTCGACATCAACCCTTGTATATTTTGTTATATTTCCCCTAAAAGTAACATGAAACCTTCTAGCTGTTTTCTCAATTTGAATGTGTTTTCCAGTAACTACTATTCTCTCCCATTTTGTCATACCTCCTTACCCTTTGTTCATAATACTGTCATTCCTTTTCGTTTGAGCCTCCTCTTTAATGGCTGTCGTGGAAGATCTCAAGTCATCTGTAAAATGTATGCTCAAATATGCAGTATTCATAGTGAATGGGTGAGTAAACTAAAATAAAAGAAAACCCGTCTGGAAGGGGTATTTTAATACTTCTATCTGCGAAACAGACAATGATTACTGTTTGCAACAATCATTATGTGAAACGCATTTCTGATAATTACTGGAGATACACTTTTAACTTGTTGACCACCAACAAGTCATTAAAATATCAGCCAACTTTTCAGGAGATCGTTGACTCTTCCGAGGCTCATACTTGAACTTTAGTAACCTATGTTCGTGTCTTATTAGATAGACGAGACTAGTAATAATCAAAGATTAAAATGTAAGTGGCATATTCAAAAGAAAAACTGAAACATTTAGTAGGTTATCGTTAACCTAATTATTGTTTTGTTTGGTCTTCAGTCTATTAGCAAAATCTAATGTTTTTCTTGCATACCGTGAACTTTCAGCAGCGTCCTAGCGGGCCCCAAACAAAATGAATAGAAGAAAATTAAAAATAGACATTTTTAATTCAGTAATCATGACCATCAGTGAGCAACGAAGATGGAAAAGGTGGTGGCTAGTTGCTTAAATCTAGTAAAGGCATTCGGTTTAAAGAAGTGAGTTAGTGTAATTCTTACAGAGGAAGAAGGATCAATTATCCATTCATAGAGTAGACGAGTTAGTTGACAATTCGAATTCTTTGGGGCCTAGCTCAATTCTTCTTCATTTGTTCATTATCCACAAGCTTCCTGAATAAACAACTAAAGTTGTATAAATGGAATTGTCAGGTGCTCACAACCAGTTGATGATAAACATTGGGCCTAGATTTTGTGCCGTTTGGCACTCATTAGTAAAACGTAAGTCACACATTGAAGGAACCCATGCTCTATGTAGGATCTAAACTTGTATCACCCAGTATCACAGTTTGGAATGTTGACAGTCAGCTGTTCGATGCGCAAATGACTTATGAGACTAAGATATTTACACTAATTAGTCATTGGGCTCGTTATCAGTGTCGCGATGTCGAGTTTTTAAGACTAGTGGTCGCATTGCGACTCGATCAATAAAGGTTGGTCAGCACTAAGCATTAGACATGCACAATACCAGTTTCTACTCAGTGATAGTCTATATATTTCATATCAATCTGATCATGCCTGTAAACTGGTGTGAATTCTGTAAATATTATTTTCAGAATATATTATTATTATATGAATGGGTTTCCTTACTGTCTTCCCTTCAATAGTCAATGATGAATGTCATGTTTTTACAAACCAGAAATAAAATCAAAGTTTTTTCTTGAATTATTATTGTAATGTCACTTGTTTTTGTTTCTCAGGCGAAGATATTGTATTTTTGGCTACTGACATAAGTCTTCCAGGTGCTGTAGACTGGGTTATGATGCAATCTTGTTTTGGACATAGTTTTATGCTGGTTCTAGAAAAGCAGGAACGTGTACCAGATCAAATATTTTTCGCTCTTGTCCAACTCATCGGAACTCGAAAACAGGCAGATCAGTTTGTGTACAGGTAAGAACATTCTGGATTGTTGAATGTGATTTTAAAAATTCAGCCTAATTCTTTTTCTAGTAATTTTAATGCAAAATAAGGCTATATTGTATAAATATAATCTCAATGTACTTTCATTTTATGGCTAAAATATTGGTTTATTTAATGAGTAATAAACCGACACTATTTTAACTACTCGTTTTTATAAAAACTAATCACTTATCAGCGTAACTACACCTAGTTTTTTTTCCAACTTGAACTTCATGTGTCATCCCACATAGAGATAGGCAGTTACTTGATGTGCGTAACGTATGTCCTAGACATGTCAGTTGGTGCAAGTGCTTAATATCGTCATTTCACTTCATCCCCTTACCTACAATTTTATTGCTTGATCTCAACATTCCTCACTCGCTAGTTTCACCGTACGTCTATGCTCCGAAAACACCTTTGGTTGATCAGCTGCAACTTATTTAACATCATGTATCACAACCATAAAACAGAAGACAGCTCTTCAGTGTGCTAGTTGTGTAAAGTAGACAATCATGCATCTCACCGGTTCCTCTGGCAATGTAGGTTGATGAGTTTTGGTCGAATGATCTTTATGTATATAGTAATTCAGTAGTGAACCAGTCATCGGCTTTGATGCATCTGAAATAAGTAAAGATATCCTCACTGTCAAGTTTCATTCCTTATTCTTAAACTGACTGTCAGGATAGACTTAAATTCTCAACAACATCTGTAAGGTACTAACAGTTCACATCCTTCCTAACTTTGTCAAGAGTTAAATTGCTGATTTCATCTAGTTTACAGTCAAATCCTAGGAACTAGAGTGTAGATACAAATCAGTTAAATTGTCCTTCAGTGTTCCACTCATTCAATAACTTCTTTATAAGAGGTCATCGACTGTCAGCACATTTTCTCAAATCATCCGTAATAACTATAGAATACTAACACCTATTGGTATTCTTTAAGCTATTGGCGCAACTCAGTTCATAGTGCGAAAACCTATACATGGATTTTCGGTTGCAAAAAACAGTTAAAAGGTATTCATGATCTATGATCCGCAGTTCTGTCACTAACATGTTTGTCCATTTTTCGTTAACTTAACCAAAGGCTTTTGTCTAGTTTCATTTAGATGTATGAGATTGAAACCTACACAAAGTATCCATGCCATGGACTACGGTTAATGAAATACTTATCGAAACTATTCCCGTATTTACCAACACTAAAAAAAAACTCAAATTTTTTAGTGTATATCCATGCCGATTTTTTTCATGTGATTATTTGGATGGTTTAGACTGTCGAGTTATATATAATGGCTGAACTTTGAATTAAACTATGCTCAATTTTTTATTATTTACAAATACTTCACTTGTGTATTAAATAATTGACTATTTTCTTAATCTTTGTGAAGTTTACTCGGAATCCTGTATCGTGAAACTAAACTATTGAAATACTTGGCTTAAGATGCATTTTTACAGTAAAGGTCCTTGAGACTATTATTATTATTTTAGAAACTTTCTATAAATGTTATAATTTCTCTTATTACGATTAGCTATTCCTATTGCTTAATATTCTTAGACACCATTCGACAAGTCTCCAAATCAGAACACAGTTGAAGAGGAACGAAAATATATATTAAATAACAAGGATAGATGAAAGTAACAGGTACAATAAGAAAAACTTTAGTAAATCTATAGTTTTTACATGAGAAGATTCTAGAGTCTTCTCTAAGTATTCACTAGCGCTGATTGATTAAGAACTAGCCAATCAGTGTACACCAACACAATCCTGCACGGAACGTGCTTTAATCCGATATATGTCCCGCTAGCAATAAATGATTCGACTTTTTTGTATGCTTTTCTTCATTCCTCTGTATATGAATGATTCCCTATATTTTACGTAATTTTACATGAAATTTATGTTATTCTTTAAGGAAATCAGTCCTTTTTATTTTATGTGTACTCTTTCTGTTTGTTATATTCATTAACTCAATTTTTTTTCTGATATAATAGACTTGAATTAAACGGGCATCGTCGACGGTTAACTTGGGAAGCTTGTCCACGTAGTATTCATGATGGTGTTCAATCTGCAATCGCTGTATCTGACTGTTTAGTGTTTGATTCTAATACAGCTCATTCATTTGCTGAAAATGGTAATCTAGGAATTAATGTGACTATTTCTCAAGTTTCTCCGTCTATTTCATAATTTCAAATATTCATTACTTCTTTTCCGTACTTTTTCTTTTCTTCCCTATTAGTTGAGAAAATTCAGTTCACATTATTATTTGTTTTTGCTCCATCGAGCATATTATCTTAGTTCTCTCTGTTTTTACACACGTCTTATTAAAGTTTGTCATTATTGAATATCAGTGAATCAGTCTACGTTTGTAACGTTTTTCTTCTATAGAAAGATGAGGAAATTTACATACATGCATTTCATTTCCCTTTCTTTTTCATTCTCTTATTCATGAAACCAGCATCTTCATTATCTTTTCCTCTCGACTTATTCACATCTTCATGTTTCCTAGTTCTTTCAAGCGCCTTAAAAATTAAATTATCATCCCATATATACACATAAACATTTCATTTCTAAATAATTCACTTTACTGGTTCCTTGTGTGTATTTCTTTGTATGTTATCTATCTGTCCATTGGATCCAGTGTTTGTAAATAATTGAGTTTACCGTCCACCACTTCTGTGTCATTTCCGATTAATAATTCATTCACATTCATACACTTAGTGATTATTATTATTATTCAAAATATAAACCCTAAAAAACAAGACGAGTACGTACATCTCATTTTCTTTCATATTTTGTTAATCCTACTTTATTTTCCCTTGTATTTTTTGTGACATTCTCTTCCTGCTTTTTTTGTCTCCAGAGTTGTTTGTCTTTTTTTCTACACAAAAGCGTTAGTATTTCACTGTGTATAATTTCGATTTTAAGTAAAAACAAAATTTATGATCCTTTTGTATTATTTGAGGCATGTTTACAAAGAACTTGTCATTATTGTGGTAAGAAAACGAAGTGACTACCCCTGTGTATATGTTTTTGGAAAAATTACTCGTTTGTTTGTTCTTGTCTTTGACTTTCTTGTTTATATCAAGTTAGTTCGTTTTTTTATTTTATCCATGGAAGATGTTGCTTTGTATTCACTCGCGTAGTCAAGCGGTGAAAAAGAAATGTTTTTGGTTCCATAAAATAACCTGTAAGCAAATATAAACATACTATTTTCTAGCAATATATGGAATTTTTCAAGTTTTTGATCTGAACAAGTTCTTAGTTTGTTGGTGTTGCACGATGACTATCACTCTTTGATTTATAGGCCTTTATTCAAGCGTATGTTAGTTAGTCTTTAAAGTATTGACTAGTTGTTCTTCGTATAAACGGAAAGCCATAAAATTGCAATCGACATAAAATGGTTTACTACTTAGCACTTTTGTGCGCCTGTCGGAAAAAAACATGATTACCTAATAAGCAACCGAAGAGGCACATATCGACCTAAATTGTATGGGGCCGATTTCAATTTTTTGTTTACCTATTCACTGGTTGGTATTACATGTCAATAGACTCACATTTTGTCTTTTAATTGATTCTTGCTTGTTTGTCGGATAATTGAGTTGTGTCACTTAACGAAGTCTCGTGATCTACTGGTTTTGTGCCCAGTTATATCTAGTTCTACTGACTCAATTATCTAGTATGAAAAATAGGAATGTACAAAATTCTTGCTTCACGTCAAAACATACTTCTCTGGCACCGAAACATTAATGGAATTTAATTTTTGCTAGAAATACGATTATAGACTGTATAAAAACAGGAAGTAATCGGTTACTTTACAGTTGGGCGGTATGAGATTGAAAATTTAATTAAATATGCAGGCAAAATCTATTACTTGTGTAGGTAAATTGCTTCAAAACTTTGTATTAATATCTCAAGAAATCTGTATTGAAAGTCTGAGGTAAGCTTCTTTAGGCCTGGTATTTAGTTTGAAGTTATGAGGGTTTTTTAAGTCGCGATGCGTTATTAGTCCACTAGGCTTTTAACAGTAAAATAGTATCTTTCCTTGTGAAATAACCACTAATACCGTGAAACACTGATATTATTATACTATAACTTTGGGGTAACCCCTTGGTTATATTGAAATTAGCACAACGTCCTCACAATCATTGCCTACCGCGCATAGTAGGGAAATATGGTTCTAAAATGACGTTTTCATTCAGCTTCGAAAAATCAGTGTAATACGATGCTTTCCAAAATTAGAACGTTAATACAAGTGTAGTTGGCGCCGAGTCGTGATTGACTATGATCACCATTACAGGAAGATTACGTGCCAGTTATTGGGTTGGACCCCTCCGTAAGCCGAAAACCAAAAGGCAGTTGACGGATGCAATAAAAAAGTATTTTTTTGGCCACCTCGTGGTGTCGAAAGAATACCAAGATGTGCCACAGTTTACAAGCGGAACTACCGAGCGTAAGCGAGTTCCTGCAAGGTCACAGGCAACGGAAGGAAACGTGTCTTTCATGCACTTAAACAAGCAGTACAGGAAGCGATCGTTGGTCCTCGAGTTGCCACCAAACGTTTTTAACGTGGGACGGTACCAGGAGACACGTGCTGTATTTGTTGCTTGAGTTAGCGTGCCACACCAGAGTAGTTTGTATCCAGAATCTGAAGATCACGATCGTAGAGGTCCGGACCGGAAAACGCTTCAGACGTCAGTCAGTCAGCTACAACGTGGGACCAGGCACATATGTGCATCAGTCCAAGTTGCCATACCTTATTAGCACAACAAGATCAACATCGAATTCATAGTAGTTAAATTAATGGTGGTAATATATAAAATATAGGTTGTAGAACAGGAAGAAAGACAGATATGAAGCTATTTTAATCTCAAGGTTTAAAGAAAGACAGAAAGTGTATACACCGACGCCATTGTGATCGATTCGGAGTCATTTCACCCTAACTCTCTTCCAACCATCCCCTACACTAGTCAGCATAACGCGTAGTGGTAATCGATGTTCAGGTATACGTAACACGTGGCCCAACCATCTCAGTTGGTGAAGGTTTAAAACCTCATCAACTGATTTACCATCATTACCTAATACCCTTTGTCTAACCTCACCATTACTAACCCAGTGATCCCAGTAAATATGAGCAATATTTCTAAGGCATCTGTAGTCAAATACTAGTAACTTAAGAGTATTGTTAACCCTTAATGGCCACGTTTCATAGCCGTAAATTAGAACAAAGCGAACTGCTAAACTCGTCCCTTAATTGATAGACTGGTATCTCGTCTTTGCCATAGGTGATGTAAGTTGGAAAATGCCAAACGAGCTTTTTGAATACGTGTTCAGATTCCGTCAGACATCAACTGCTAGGGGATGATCAAGATAAGTAAATTTGTTGAAGCGTTCGACTACTTCACTCCCCATCTTTAGTTCAAATGTTGACGCAGGCCAGTCCTGGAGTAACAATTTACATTTAGATGGGGAGAAACACATCTCAAAACATCCTGGTATTGTTACTCAGTGCTATCAAAAGACTGCATTTTGTCAGTGTCTTCACCAAACAGGACTATGTCATCTGCGTATTCTAAGTCGATAAGTGAACCTCCTGGTAGAAGATCAATTCCTGGAAATTCAGTCGACGAGAGTGTTATTTCCAGCAGTAGATCTATGATAAAGTTAAACAAAAATGAAGATAGTGAACAGCCTTGTCGGGCACCACTTGAGGTTGTAAAATCAGATGACAATTGCCATAAGCTCTCTGAGGTACACTTTTCAATGACAGATACTACCACAGAACCTCTCGGTCTGCAGAGTCAAATGCAGCTTTTAAGTCAAGATAAACTATCATTGATGGACGCCGATAAGCATGCCTGTGTTCTAAAACCTGACGACTGGTGAATATATGGTCGATGCAGCAATTGCCAGATCTGAAGTTAGCTTGATTTTCTCGTGTTTGCAGTTCACGAGTCTTCTTTAAGCGCCCGATAATTATTGAGGCTAGTATTTTAGATGCTATATTAGTCGAACTAATCGCTCTGTGGCTATCACAGGATGATTTTGACCCCTTCATATATATTGGGACAACCAGTGATTGTGACGAGTCAAAAGGGATTACGTTCAACCTCAAGATTCTAGCTAAAATATTAATCAGCCTAATCGTTAAATTTGGACCATCATATTTAATGACCTCTAGAACCAATCCATCTGGACCAGCTGTGCTTCCTCGTTTCAGATTAGCGACTGCCTTTTGAACTTAAGTTAGAGTCGGGGGACCTACTTCAATGTTCCATTCAGACTGCTTGGGAATGATGGGTAACTGTAGAGTATCTGAATGCCAGGTAAACTGTTCACTTAAGTGTTCGTTCTAAAGGTCTGGGCTGAGAGCAGATAAGAGTGTCATATTTTTCCGAGATTGTCTCACTTATACTTGACTTCTTAATTCCGGTTTCTTTTATTAGTCTGATAAGTTGTCTGGTGTTGCCCACAGCAGCTGCCTTTTCCATTTCTTTTGCACTCGTTGCCCGCCACTGATTACGATCATTCCGTAGACATTTGGTTAACCTTGGTCTGACTTGCTTTCTCTCTTCATCGTGTTTGGGGCCGAATGGGATGACTTTACGATAATCTATCAATGTAATATACTTAATAGAAACCCACTGGTTTCTAGTAACCCTACGGCTCAAATCACTAATAGATTTCACTTCTGATTCCACAGCTGTTCGTATATATGTCTGAGCATTATCTGCGTCAGCCTCGTTTTTAGAAATACTCATGTGTGAATTCACTTGTTTATGGAACCTACTCATGGCTTACCCGTCTCTCAGTTCAATTCTAATGGGTCTTCTGAATGTGACTTTTCTGCTTCTAGTGAGGCGCAAACAAATGAGTACTCGTATTAGAGCATGATCAGAGTCTAAACATGTATTCCGGAACGAGCGGGATTCTGTTGTCTAGCCCCTACAACGATGACTGATGTCAATAGCTATCGGGTTGCCAGATATACGGAAGGTGTGGTGAGGTGAGGTTAAATGAATGATCACACTAGGATCCTGTATGCGTGTTTCGGAGACACAGCATACATCAATAGTACGATATTCTACGGTTTTAGCCAGGGAAGCCTACTGGCCGATTTGACTTAGGGTACATACGTTGAAGGTTCCAATGTGTTGTTCGAGGTGAGGTTTTAGTGGACCTGGGAC